TCATCTGTGCAAGAGAGTTAGGGTGGTGCTTGGGAAAGAAGAATTATCCCAAACTCCCTTTCCTGCTTCCGCAGATGGATGCATTCTATCAGTGAAGCAACACCAACTGGATTCTATCTAGTATACATAACTAAACATAAAAAGCAATGACCAAAAGGAAGCCCACATGGACTGCAGCTAAAAATATGCATGCACATGAACCCCGCAAAATCAAAAGCTCTACTGAGGCAGCAAAGTTTGTTATGTGGGTCTTTTGTGTCCCGAGTGTGAAATCGCACCAGGCCATTCAGGATCCTTGCCAAAGAACAATTGGCACTGGAAGTAATATAGAACTAATATGTCCAGCTCTTTAGACAATTTGTGTCAAAGTTAACAATTACCTTCTGCTGCCCTGTAGTGACACCTAATTCAGAAGTGTCTTTGATAAGTGGCTGAGGATATTGGGCTGGAGAGGCAGCCTACATGCCTTTGGTGAGAGAAATAAAGAGGAACTTTTGAGGCTTGAGTGGGAATAAAGCCCAAGTAATCCTTTCCAAACCCCAGCGGAAGTGCTTTAAAATGAAATTCTGTTCCTGCTGACCTGCTTGCAGTGCAGTTCACATATGTTTATGTACATGCGTGCAATCTTGTTTCTTTCGCCTTCTCATAAGAGGGACATTTTTTCAGTATGTGACATTTCTATTACTTAAGCGAGTGAATCAAAAAATAGGTACTTGAAAACATAATCTCTGCCTTATTTCTTCATATAAATACAACAGATGCTTAAAATGCAAACCCCTTCTGCGTGTCTGTTTATAAGGCCTGAAGTTACTTTTGTTTTGTTTCAGCCAAATGGCCAAAAGGCTGCCAGCAGTATGTCTGGAATGTTATTTACTTGGTACATTTCTAGGCTCTTTCTTTGTAGCATTGCATACACCACAGCCAGGGGTCATTTACTTAAAAATGACCAATGCAATACCCCCAAGCTGCACAGTTATTCTTCTCAATGGGGGCTTTGTAATAAAAGGGAGTGTCTCATTATGTACTGTAGCTTCTGTGCTCCCCCCCCCCTCACTGCCTTTTTCATTCTTAATAATTTGATTTGGTTTGGGTGGAGGTTTGGGGAGGTGCTGTTTATTATTGCTCTTTGTTCTCTGTGACTCTCTTTCTTTGCTAGGGCTTCAGTGTCTTGTGGTATCTTTTGTGATACTAGCTGACTTAACTCCATTTGACCTGCTTTTCTGAATTTTCATTTTAAGACGCTTACTTATAAATGTGTGAGTGTGTTTTTCCTCCAGCAGAAACCACTCTTAAAAACACTGCTCTGCAGACAGATCCAGACAGATAAACTTCTTTCAAGAGAAGTGTGGGTGTTCATACATTTTTGAGGGAAGGGTTGGGCTGCATAATAGAGGTTCTTTGGAACATGGATTAGTACATCTTGAAACTGTCTTCAGGCACTTTACACACATGGGAAGAAGACTTTACCTTTTCAGTTATGCCATAATCAAGGTGTAGCCCTTGATATGCCATGCCCCCTTTAGCTATATAGTTTTTGAGCTGACCTGTGCATTATGTTACATCAAACTACAGGGACAGCTTTGTAAAACATGAGAGCCAGGATGGTTAGAGTGTTGGACTAGGATCATAGAATCATAGAGTTGGAATAGACCACAAGGGCCATTGAGTCCAACCCCCTGCCAAGAGACCAGGTGTCACGGTCCAGTCTATGGTTGATCAAAGTCCCGACTGGGGACGTCAGGATTGTAGGCAGGATGGCGGGGTGGGAGCAGGAACGAGAGTCCAGAAGCCAGGGGTCCGAGGGTCAGGAAGCAAGGAGTCACAAAGTCGAGGGTCTGAGGGTTGAGAAGGAGGGAGTCAGGAAGCCGAGGTCCGAGGATTAGGAAGCAAGAAGCCAAACGCAGCAAGGCAGGAAACGTGTTGCTGTGGCAAAGAGCCGAAGGGAAATGCTGACCTTATATCCTTTCCCAGCTCTTGCCACCAGGTGCAGTGAGTTACCAAGCGGCCTCACCTGTACGGCCACGCCTTGCCTCTCCAGAACAAACTTAGGAAGGCCCCAGTCCTGCGAAGCCCTACTGGTCACAGGGTCTGGCTCCTGCACACACTCCTGACACCAGGGTTCAATCCCCCTTCAGCCATGAAGCCTACTGGGTGACCTTGGGCCAGTCACTGCCTCTCTCAGCCTAACTTATCTCACAGGTTTGCTGTGGGAATTAAATGGGGCGGGGGGGAGAACAACATATGCCTCCTAGAACTCTTTGGACAAAAAGGTGGGGTAAAAATGCAATAAAATAAATAATAAAACATAGCTAGGTGAAGAAGCAGCTACTTGACGTAAGAGGCCGCTCAGTAAGATACATTTGAGAAGCAGAAACCATGTGTCCTGTGATATCGGAACTCCTTTAGTTAAAATGTCATAATGGCAGGGCATATGACTTCCATTTTGACTGCTGAATATGTTTAGCTTTATTCAGGAAGGTGGCTGTCACATTGCCTGACTACCAGTGGAGAAGAAGTTGATAAAAACTTCGGGATGGGAATAAAATTTACAAAAGAACACCATGTCATACACAAGCTTATGAAATTTTATTCTCGTAACAGCCTTTTGAGGCAGTGTAGGTAAGAGATAGTGGCTTCTACCACCCTGTGACCTTAACTGATGTGCTGGTATTTTAACCCAGATCTTCCTGGCCCATGTCCATCTTTCTTCAGATTTTTTACTTTACGTGTTCTCCCAGATTACAAGACAATAAAATTTTATCAATAAGCAATCAATGGATCAAATACATATAATGTGGGAGGGGAGGTTATTGGTTTGTTTTTGTTTTATTATGTATTTTGTATTCTCATTTTTGTATGTGAACCAACTTGTGATCTTTGGATAGAAGGCTGTATACAAATTTAATAAATGATAACAATAATGCAACTATATATCAGTATATATATATATAAGCAATAAAATTACATGCTTCCTTCAAATTTTCTTGTAAGCTTGTCAAAAAAAGAAGCTTTTATAGTTGTTTCACTATAGCTCAGCAAAGATGTGCACTGTATGTTCTTGTGGTAACTCAGTGATTAATTTCCTACTCTGTGTGTGTTAGAATGTTGGGGAAGGAGTTTATTCTTGTGCAAAGGTTGTGTTAGCTTTGTACTTTGAAACTTCCTTGTAGTTTCAGTCCATTTTGCAGTTGTTCTTCACGGGGAAGTGCAATCCAGAGTTTGGGGGCCACTTCAGAAAAGAACCTGCTCTGTCTTGCAGCTGAGAGAACACAAGGCAGATTAAGGTCAACCTCACTTTATGAAATATTTAGGTTTATCTCCAGCCCTGACTTGTGAATTGAAGAATTATAGCACTCTGCTAATCCTGGTTTTGTATTGAAATTTTTCAGTTTCAGTCAAGAACTGCATTTTCAATCATTTTTATGTGAGCAAAGAAAATCTGCCATGCATGCAACTTTAATGAAATAATCCCATTGTAGAATAAATGTACTGATTAAAATAAGCAAGAGTTATATAACATTGACTAGGTGGTGTTTGGAAATAACATCCTGGGTAGGAACAACCTGTAAATAATGCAACAAATTTTAGTTGTTTTTTCCTGAAGATTTATCTGCCCTTTACACCCCAAATCCTGCAACTTTTGTAAATAATTCCAGAAGCACGCTCACCATTCAGTTGTCTTCGAGGGAAATGTTACACCAGCAATTTGGTGCTGCTTTTAAGTGTTGCATTTCATTAGTAAGATTTTAAAAGAATCTGAAATGTATTTCAGAGCGTGAAAAAAGTCCATGGTTTACAAATTCCAGCTAGCTATATTATTTATTCAACTCCATATAATGCCTTGTATTAGATATTGGAAAGTGGCAAAGCAATGACTTCATTAGGCTACACAACAAAAGTGGCATGCGTAACAAAAATGAAATCCTCTGTGTTCACATACACATAGCTGATCAGCCATCTTAGTAGGTCCTGATAGAAGCTGAAATGGGGAAGACATGTTCCTTGTTATTGGAACTGAGCTTTTTAAGAGAAGAAAAAAGTCACAGATGCAACAATAAATAATATTAACTTAGTTGTAGGCAACCTTTCTGTATTTCAACTGCCATTTGCACAGTCCTCCTCAGATCTTTTGCAGAATTGCCTATGACGTTTCTTTGGGTATCAAAGTCTTAATTCCCAAAACCTATATCATGCAAAAGGAGGCATTGGCTGGTTTATAGAAATGGCCATATTAATTTCATCCCAGAGAGAAGCCTATAGCTTGAAACAGGGATCATTCATCATTCATTCATTTTTCCTGTGGTACTTTGCTATAGCTGTTCCCCTACCCCAATTTCTGTAACATGTTAGAACAAAATCCATGTGCGCTCAGGAATTGACACCTACTCTTGCACGTAGAATGCTGTACAGATCTAAGAACCCACTCATCGACAACTGACAACAGACACCCCCTCAACACCAATGCCTATTTTAGCTTCATTAGGTGCTCACTTTCCCACACTTTTTGTCCTAAAAGCTTGAGTTTTCAACATTTACAATGTTCCTTTTTGAACGAGAGCCTCTCTCTCTCTTTTCTCTCTCTCTTTGTTTTCCCTGGTTCCTTTGATCATTTAGCCGAAAATACCTATGGTCTGAATTCACACCTGCCCTTCTTTTATTATCTTGGCTTAGGCATAAATGCTTCCACTGAAATAAATCAGCCTTGTAATTTGAAAAATATAAAACTTTGGTTTAAGTTACTTATTACAGGTAATAGCTGTTTGATGGTTGAATGTGAAACAAATGCTTGGCAGAATATTTAGCTTGAATCTCTGCCAGAAAACAATAAAGTGCAACCTAATTCCTAAAAATGTCTGAGCTATAAACTAACTGTCATGACATAGCATGCATACAGTAATAACAGGCTGACAAGGCTAATAAAGTCTACATATTGCTATAGCCGGGCAATGCACGCTGTAACAGGTTCATAATGTATTTTGTCCTTCATTCATATTATGCAGCCCACACATCATCTTCATGTCACAGAGCACATTATCTGGAGGGAGCCATCTCTGTGGAACACGCCTGTGCCATGAAATTGCTCATGCCTGGTTTGGCTTGGCTATTGGTGCACGTGACTGGACTGAAGAGTGGCTAAGTGAAGGATTTGCCACTCACCTAGAAGATGCATTTTGGTCAGCCGCACAACAGGTATGGCTCAAATAGTCCTTTTCATAATGTAGAAATAAGGATAACCTTCAGTTTACACATTTACAAAAAGAGCAAATAGGCTCCCTGTTCAAGGATGTAAGTATTGCTATGCTGGATCAGAACAAACATTTATCTAGTCCAGCACTGTGACTATTTCTGACAGCAGCTGTCCAGACCCCAGGGAATTTCACTAATAGGGTAGTAGGGATAACCTTACGCCCTTGGAATCTAGTAAACAGAGGTATACTGCCTCTGAGCAGGAGGAATCTGTTTGCAACTGTTTTAGGTAATGTCTTATCTAATCTCCTTAAATTTATCATGCCCTTGGCCATGAGCTTGGCTTGATTAACTTCCATATGTAGAGAAATCTGTTAGATGGAATTGTAATTGGTGGTACCTGAAATAATTTGCAACACTATCAAATGTTTCTGTTCTCACTTTTATCTTTAATGCATTGGTAATGTTATTGTCATGCACTAATTTAGCTATGTAGATGCATCCTGGCAGGTGAAGTATAAATAAAGGTGTGAAAACATTCTTTATCATAAGTAGAAAATCAGTTGTTCGCTGATGAACTGGTAAATTGGTATATAATTCATTCTTCAAGACAACACTGTAATTATTATTGTGGGTTGTGGGACAGGTATGTTATCAAAGAGAAGACAGAAAGATTTAGGGCAAAAAAATATTCTGACTTTCAAGGTTGTGACTAGCAGTATTATTAAACTGAAATAATATGTCAACTGTTTTAACTGAATATTCAGTTAATTTTTTCCAGTCTGGTGTTCATATTCTTTAACATGTTATGTAGGAGTAAGAGAACCACACTTCGTAGGGTGGGAACATGTAAGGCTGCCCTATACTGTCAGACCATTGAGCCATCTAGCTCCTTGTTAACTGTGCAGGCAAGGACTCCAATGTTTAACTTAGTATTTAATCAAATAATTTATTTGATTGATTGATTAAAAAATGTAATCAATAAAAATGTCTCACAGATTCATTGGACAGATTTTTCTTTAAACTGTGATTTCTAATATATGAGATATGAAAATATAAGAGCAAGAATGCATTCTCCCTTCTTCCATTGCACATCATTGCACACACAGGGTGTTTGCCTCTTTTAAGATGATACCTATGATGACATGTATGAATAAAATAAAATCAATTATTTGGTGCTTCTCACTTCAGCACTTATTTTCAAATTGAATTGGTTACTTAATGGATTAAATATCATAAGAATTAATTGACTAAGACGTCTTTAGCCAAATAACAGCTCCACTGAGAACCTTTTTTTGCACTCTGTTCAATGCTGGTGCAATTATGCTTTAAAGCCTTAGATCGTGGCCACCATCTTGCAGGAAAAAAACCACAAATGGTAAAACACCCAGCACCCAGTTCCACTGTTTTATGCCTTTGACCTAGTGGTTCAACTCCCTCATTTGAATTGTATGCCTCATGCCATATAGAAGGTGAAGGGACCTTTTGAAGTAGCACCCACAGAAGTCCAAGGGCTGGCACCGCAAGCAAATTATGTATTGATGCATGTTTAGAAGTGCTTTCCATTGCACACATACCATATAGTTCCTCTCTTCTACACAGCGTTTGGATAAGGGCATAGCTTGGTGATAGAGCAACTGCTTTGCATGCAGAAGGTCTCTGGTTGAATCCCTGGCGTATTTAATTGGGACTGGAAATGTTCTCTGACTGAAAAGCTGGAGAGCCACTGCCGGTCAGTACTAAGCTAGATGAGGTCTAGGGTCTGCCTTGGTATAAAGCAGCTTTCTATGGATGGAATTCACCTAATGTGCCCCGTGAAAGATTTCTGTTTATGCAAGAGGATTTCTGCCTCTGCTCTTCTTCCCCTGCGCACCCTACGCTACCTGAAATGGTCTATGTGGGGGTCAGGAGATCTCCCAAAACAAAATATATAGTAATAATAATTTTTATTGGTCATGGTAGTAGGAGATAGGTTAGGTGCCTGCTCTTGGCTCCTCTAAAGGGTGACAGGGCTTTCTCTAAGCTGATGGGATTTCCATTAAAAACTACTGAGAAACTGAAGAAGCCTCTAACAATAACCTGAATATTTGTGTCCCAAGTAGCTGTCAGCTGATGAAGCGAAAGAGCAGCAAGATCTGAAAGCTGTACTGCGCTGGCAACGCCTTAGAGATGAGGTGCAGAACTCTGAAGGAGATCTGCAAGTGTTAAGGTACAGAAAAAGCTGCTCACTTACTGTTTCTTCTCTCCTTATCACATTTTCCCTCTCCAAAAGAAGGATATTGGAGTGTTTTGATTAAATTATTACATCTTCCAAAGGGTTTGTAAAGCAAATTCATATATTAATTAGAATATTTGTGTACCACAGTTTCATTAAAAAAAAATCAAAGAGGTTTACAACACTTAAAATACAATACAAAAATTAAAACAGCTCACTATTACGGAAAAAGTTTTTCTTTAATTGTCTGCATAATCCTGGTGGCAAATAGAAGTATATGGCAAAGGTTTGAAAATTAGAACAGAAGGTGTCTGCCCCGAATGGAAGAACACTCCACAGGAGCAGGCCAATAACACAGAAGGCTGGGTTAAGTGTTGCTGTCAGATGAGCCTCGCCAGCTGAAATGTAGAAAGAGAAGACTGGACAAAATCAAATGGGTTGAGGTTGGAAAGAGGATAAGGAAAAACAACCTAGGTTGCAATCCTATGCACAGTCCCGAGAGTAAGCTTTACTGAATTCAGTAGAATTCAACATCCTTAGGGTTGCACTGTAAGTTGCAAGCTACTTGACTTTTAAAAAATGAGGAGGAAGTCTTAAATATTGATTCCAATAAAAAATTCTTTTCTCGGAAATTACTGCTCAATGGAACATATCCAAAGAAATGGTTGAGGGGCTAAGCTCTATGAAGTTGAAGGCACTGGGTATATTTAGGCTGAAGAAGATAAAATAAAAAATTAATTAAATAAGCCGTTTACTGAAGAAGAGATAATGTGATAGCCATTTACAAATTTGTTTTAAGGCTGTCAGATAATGGAGCACATTTGTTTCTGCTTATCCCAGAACAAGAGTGGGCCAGCCTGAAACCCAAGAATTGCCTGCAGATTCCACCTCAGAGGGTGGGGAGCTCAGAGGTAGAAGTCAAGGTGCGTAGGAGGGAATGGGAGCACCCAAAACAGATGGAAGAGAAAGTGGTACTTGTGATTAGTTCTCACTTCTGATATTTTCCTCCCCTGGCAACCTGCTGGTTGGATAGAAGGAGAGGTGGGTGATTCTGTCTGTTTCAGTGCCCAGCCTCACCCACTGCTGGCTTCAGCCCCACCCATCACTGGCATGGTGACAGGTTGCTCTGAAGGAATGGAGCCCTTGACAAAAAAGAGAGAAAGGTTCCCCACCCCTGCCCTAGAGAATAGGACATGAACCCACAGGCTAAACTCAAAGGAGATTTCAGCTAAACATTGGGGAGAACTTCCTGATACTGTGAGTTGACAGTGGGACAGACTGCCTCGGAAGGGGGTGAAGTGTCCCTCTTTAGAGGTTTTCAAGCAGTCGCTGGATGGTTACCTCTGAGAAATGCTGCAGTAGCTAGGGCTAGGTGGCTTTTGAGCTCAACTCTTTGAAATTAATCCACTCAATCATAGACTCAGTCTATCTTTTGCAACCTGAAATTCGGCTTGTCTGTGGCTGCAGAGCAATCTGCTTACCACATCATATTAGGCTACACCACCCCATAGACTTGTGGGTGTAGAATGCTTAAGCATGGGGCTAATTTAATTTAAACCATGTTTTAGTAAGGAAATTCGTCTTTGTTTTAATCATGATTTTCATTATTTTTGTTTAATGTTCCTTTTTTATATGTGAATTTCATTCATTGGTTCTAAGCATACTAAAACATGTTGAATTGATTATTTTACAATTAAATACAGCCTTTAAGCTAGATTTTATACTATGTTTATAGACAATGTATTAAGTATAAACTCCAGTGTATAAAGTTGTATGGCGAAAAGTTGAGTTGACAGTTAGCTTACAGTTTTGTTGTTTCATAAAATGTCTCCAACCCACCAATCCGGTGCATAATTATGCATGGAATTCAGTGAGACTTGTTTATAGTGTTATCCATGTATTTATGTGTAATCCTATGCACAGGATTGCAGCCTGAATCTCTAATCCAGGGACCTGGGCGGGGGGGGGGGGAGACACACTATGTGCAGAGCACAGCATCTCCTTTTTTAAAACAGTATTCCCTTATGCTGCATTGCATGTTAATTTCTAAAGTATCCCAGTCTGGAAAAAAAGTTTGTAATGCAGTTCAGGGAACTCACCTGATTGTTGTAACCCCAGCCTCATGCAACAAGCTAAACACTACACAGAGAGTACTGACCCTAACACAGAATATTTTCCTGACTGATACAGACCCAGTAGGCAATGCCACGTGCACTTGAACTTTTTCTTGTTTCTTATTAGCTTTTATCCTGCTATTTCCCCAAAGATTTTAAGACTGTGAGCATGGTTGCCCCCTCATCCCACTTTTGTATTTATAAAATCCCATGTTGGGCAGGTTAGTCCAAGAGATAGTGGCTCGCCCAATATCATCAAGTAAGCTTTGTGGCTTATTAGAGATTTGAATAAACATGCTCCTGGAAAAGTAGCTGCTCGTGGAATAAATGTAGTTCTAAAAGCCTTCCACGGTGGCCCGGCCCAGTGTCCATCTCCTGAGCCTTCCCTCTACATCAAGTTCTCACATTACTGTAGTTGTGTTATAAGCTACTTTCATTAATATTTATTCGTGTTATTGTATATATGCTAAATCAGACAAGTCATACGTTTGCAAGTGTGTAGCTTGACAATAGGTGCAGATAGAGGAAACAGCCTTATCGCTAGCTGCAGCCAACACAGCTGCTGATTGGCAGGATGGCTGGTTTTTTTGTGTATTTTGTTTTGTTCCATTTTTTAAAAAAATGTGAACATGGCTTGCTCTGATAGGAGGCTTATCTGGACATTAGCTTTCCTACTTCAATTGCTAAGGTATCACATGGGTTTTATAGTGCATTAATTTTACAACAGAGACTGTTTAAAAAAACCTATCTTAAAAGTATATAATAAAATTACATTTAACCAGCAACATATCAGAGCAGCTAACAATAGTTTAAAAACACACTAAAACTACATAAAAATAGTAGAGCCGTAAATATAAAACATGGGAAGTTAATATTCCAACAGGTTAAAATAACAAATGTAATTTATTTAAATCTAAAATGTGTGGGCAAATTAAAGGGTATGTCTTGGTGCCACAAAGGCACTAGAATCTGCCATGCCAGACTCCCTGGGGATACATCTAAAAATGAGAAGCCATCACTGTAAAGACTCTATCTTGGCTCACCAACAGCTTCATCTCTGAAGGCAGAGGGGCTTGAAAAAGGTATTCAGATGAAGATCTTAATACGAGGGAGAAGGACATGGATTACTGGGGCTAAGCTATCTCTCCATCACTCCAGCCTCATTTGATTCCTGCCACAGGTGCCACTTTGACATTTATACACAAGGCTGGAGCTAAAAGAGTTCCTGAGCTGTGAATCTGATATTTAAGGGGAGTTGCAACCTTATCCAGAACAGGCTGAGTACCACCTACCAACAATACCTTCATCCTGTCAGGATTATGTTGTAGTTTATTGGCCCTTATCCACCCTGATCCCAGATACTCATTTAGTACTACTGCTCACCCCAGATCTCCATATGACCTCAGTCAACACTTTCATGTAGATGCACTAAAGCACACCACAATATAAACACCAGCTTTTGTTGGACATAACCTGGGGAAAATAGCTAGTGCAACATCCCTTAGCTACTTAATCTGTTACAACAGGCTCTACCTGAGAGAAGAAGGTTGCACATTTCCCCCCTCCCAACCCTGTGATTTCAAACTAAAGAGGTTAGGCACTAGTAAGCAATAGTTTTCTGACACAAATTTGGAAACTGGACAACCATTGATGAAGAATTCACACAGTTTGAATTTGTTCTGGATATTGTCCTCATGGGTGATAATTCAGTGGGCTGAATGTTTCAAGCTTTGTTTTCAAAAACTCTGGCTGCTTTTCTTTGACGTGCATGGAAAATTGCAAACTAAAGAAAAATAAAGAGAAAGCTTAAGTCCTTTTTTCAGCGTATTGGGCATAGATGAAAGAGCCCATTCAGCCTTCCAGGTGTAGTCTTGTGAGCTGCTAAGCCTATGTTCAGGTAAGAGCAGCCAAAATATGTTACTGGATGTAATGAATTCAATATCCTTCCTTGCCGTTTCCCTCCATCTAAAGTGTCTCCATCTCTTCTAATTTCCCTTTGCGCATAGTGTGACACTCCTGCCTGTGTAGCATGTCTTAGCAGAATGCCATGTGATATGATGTCATGTCTGGGAGAAGAGTTAAGTCGCTTCACACCAGCTTAGAATTGGCTACTAGTTTAAACTTCAGCTGTTTGTGTAGCCATATATAAAGTTACATTAGAAAAATGCATTGCTGTACTACTTTTCCCACGAACGAAGTTACCTGAGTAAGTAGGAAACCTCCTATATAGCAGACAACGCCTGAAGTAAAACAGAACCTTGTAATTAAGTGTTTTAATTGTGAGACTTTTTTTTAAACATCCTCATTGTATCTGTTTATCCAGATCTTGAATTATTTGTGCCCTTTTAGGCCCAAGAAAGAGAACACTGGCAAAGCAAGTGAATCTGGAGCATCTGTAATCAAACATGGCCTGAATGCAGAAAAAGTGTTCATGCAGGTTCATTACCTGAAGGTCAGAATGCTAAAGCCGGTACTCTCAATATGACAAATCAGTATTTTGTAGACATAAGAAAGGAATAACATCTTGTATGTCTGGTTCGCTTCTTCCAGGGTTATTTCCTTCTGCGGTCTTTTGCTGGGAAGGCTGGAGAAGCTGCATATTTCGCCTTTTTAAAGAACTTTGTGCGGGCTTTTCATGGACAGCTGATACTCTCTCAGGTACTTGCATCTTTAGCTTCAGTCAAAATAATCCAGGAGTTGAAGAACCTTTCCTATGAGGACAAGCTAAGCATTTATGTTTTAGAAGCTTGGAGGTGGGGGAGCGTGCAGCAAAGTGAGCAGAGACCATTTTTAATCTCCTTTTCATAACACTAGAACTTTCCTGGTGAAGTTGTAGGCAGTTGATTCATAGCAGAAAAGGGAAAGTACTTATTCACGCATTGCAGGATGTGGTGATGACCACTGGCAGGCAGAACGATTCAACTCCCTGATCCTCTGTGGAGGTGGCCATCTGCCCATGGGACTGGGCCAGCATAGGGTCTGCTGAATTCTGTGTGGAGTATGCTGCAGTCGTGTGGTGGCAATGGGCTTGAACCAGGTCTCTTGCTTGCAAACTAGGGCCGTGAAAGGATTCTTTTTCCAACCCCTCTTCCAACCAGCATAAGCACCAGGTGTTGTGATTGCAGTGTTGGCTGTGCCACTCCATCAAGCATCACTGTTGCTTGAGGATTGCATCTTTAAAAGGGAACTAAATAAATTCATCAAGGACAGCTTCACTGGTTGGTAACAGTAATGACAAGTGGAACCTGCAATGAAATGTCACAGTATATCCTCACCCCCTAACAAGAATGGGCCCATTCAGAGTTCCAGCCAGCCATGTCCTCCTTCAGCATACTATAAATTGTAAGCAGCTCAGGAAGGACAATTTATCTGCTCCCCTGGTTTTCCATTCCAAGTGGTGCTGAACATTATATGGCTCCTGGAGGCCTCTGAGAATGTTTTTTCTTGCTTTTTTATCCTCCCCCCTTTGTGCTTTTACGTTCTTCTGGATACTGGGGTTAGTTCGTTTATCAGTTGCCCCATTGTGGCTCTAAACCACCTGAGTTTATTTTTAGAGAGAACGATAGCTAAGTGCAACCTATACAGTGGTACCTCGGGTTACATACGCTTCAGGTTACAGGCTCCGCTAACCCAGAAAGAGTACCTCAGATTAAGAACTTTGCTTCAGGATGAGAACAGAAATCGTGCGGCGGCAGCAGGAGGCCCCATTAGCTAAAGTGGTCCTTCAGGTTAAGAACAGTTTCAGGTTAAGAACGGACCTCCGGAACGAATTAAGCACGTAATCAGAGGTACCACTGTAGAGGCAACCTATTCCTCTCGGTATCAGTTACTAGAAGTGAAGGGCAAAGAGAATTGGAGGGCTGTTACCTTCATGCCCTGGTGGTTGGCCAGTGCTGGAAATGGGATATTGGGGTACATGGATCCTGGGTTTACTCCCACGGGGCTTATGTGCTTAACACTAAGGTGGGTGTTCCATTGTTGCTGTTGGTCTTACCTTAAGATTTTAAGAAAACTTCAGGCATAGAAAATACATTTGTCAGGGTATGCAAGATGTGTGCTCCCCAGAACTGGTGTCTGGCCATAAAGAAAGCTACAAGGAAGTATGTTATGGATGCTATGATTTAATCTAATTGATCTATCAAGGGCTTCTAATCATGATGTTAAAATGGAATCTTTTTGCTCAAATGCAGTATAGAATCATAAAATTGTAGAGTTTGAAGGTACCCCAAGGGTCTTCTAGTCCAACCCCTGCATTGTAGGAATCTCAACTAAAGCATCCATGACAGAGTAAATCCCAGATATCTTAATGCCATTCTCATGAGCCTCCAAGGATCTTCTAACTGCTTTGGAAACAGAATGCTGAACTAGATTGACCTTCTTCTGATACAGAGTAGTTATTATGTTTCCAACTTTCCCCTTGTAAATCATCCTTAGTTATATTAACACAACCTCTATTGAATATTTCAAAAACTAAACTTTGGTTTGAATATAAGAATGAACGTACAAAAATGAACTGTAGCAACAGAAGCAGATAATCTTTTTTGCCTGCTGCTTCTATCCAGGATGGCTTTGTTAAATTCTTATGGAAACACATTTCAGTCATGCTTTGTTACTCAAGGTTGCTATTCTTTATAGAGAGAAATTGCTTCTGGAGTATTAAAAGGGTCAAGAGGAGGCCCACAGAAGCCTCTCTTTTCATAAGGTATCTTAATGTAAGGTTAAAAATTCAATCTTGGTTTACAGCATGCCATATTGTGAACAACTGCACTGTGTTGAAAGAGAACTTCTGCATGCCATGAGACACATCACCATCAGATAATGGATATTTTCATTTAGACCAAATTAAACGGACTTAGATTTTTAAAAAATCATTGCTTTCTTTCTGATATTGACATTAAGCCTATGAAATAAGAATGCCAGCATGCATTCATAATATTTTTGTGGTGACCTGCTTAAAAACATGAAAATAAGATAAAATACAACTAGGTTTCAAGCTGAACAAAATATTTCCCTGTTGTTACAAAACAGAAAATTTCTTTTTACTTCCATCCTTGACTGTAAAGATAATTGAGTCAAGATGCACTGCTGAGTGTAGAAAAGCCATATTCAAGATGAACGCGCGCGCACACACGCACACACACATACACTTTTTTCAAAAGACACCTAAACTGTTCCTACATGTTCTTTATCATTTATTTATTTGTTGGTTAGTTTTAATTTTAACTAACTCTTGCTCCATGGAGCAGAGAGACCTACACATGTCTTCTACGTGGTCTGCTATCTAGGTACAGCTCTATATGGAGCCCACTTCACTTCAGCAGTTGAATTGTGTGCCTTTAGGCCATTTTTAAAGAATCTTTAGATTATTTTCTTGCAGTGGCTTCCATAAATAAATGCTGTCTTGGGTGGATTTGTATGTTTGTCCCTGGCTTCATAAACTATGATTTACATCATGACCACCTACTTCTCTGTTGTCCCTCCTCTCTGCTTGTATGCCAGCTTTCACATTGAGATTCTTGCTTGCATTAAACCAATGTTCTCAATTTTGCCCAAAGGGCTGCATCCAACTAAATCATTGTGCACGCAGAACAGCATCTGTAAAAGCAATGGAATGTGCCCTCCCTCAACCCCAAGCACTCCCCAAATATGTTATGGGGGTTCCTGTAACCCGCTGGAACAGATTTAATGGAAGTGCTGGGATATGTGGAGGAAGGAGACAGTGGAAGTTTCCCTGCACTCACAGAAGTTGTTCCAAGCATTCAGATTTAGATGGATACAACTGCGGAACTTTGGTGTAATTTTAGTTAACAAATCAGGTCAATAACCCAGAATTTGTCAATGTCTGCTTTCTGACTTACATGCCTTTTTCTCATAACATATAACTTGCCCTAGTTCAGCTCTGTGAGAATTATGGCTAAATTGGGATTTCAGCTTAATCTTAAATCAAAGCTTTTTTCATTGCATGATACTAAATTCAAATAGGGTGCTCAGACAGACCCTAAAGGATCAGACATGGCAACATAAAACCAAAAGGAGAGATGATAAAGGCTTGGGGGGGGGGAGAGCAAAGAAAGCAAATTACCCTATTTTTTGCTCTATGACTCACTTTTTCCCTCCTAAAAAGTAAGGGGAAATGTGTGTGCGTCTTATGGAGTGAATGCAGGCTGCGTAGCTATCCCAGAAGCCAGAACAGCAAGAGGGATCGCTGCTTTCGCTGCACAGCGATCCCTCTTGCTGTTCTGGCTTCTGGGATTCAGATTTTTTTTTTCTTGTTTTCCTCCTCCAAAAACTAGGTGTGTCTTATGGTCTGGCGTGTCTTATAGAGCGAAAAATACGGCACTTTCTAAAGATAAAATGTTAAAGTTAGAGTTCCACAGTGGGATGTAAGTGGGAATACCACAGAGAGGATGTTTTATAATTGTTCAAAAATAATAATTCAGCTTGGTAGTTAGAAATATTACTTGAATCAATGTAGAGAAATGTGGATAGGAAATGAATGAAATAAAATCAACACTTTCCCCAGTACAGTATGGCTTCCAACATTATGCACATAAGCTTTTCAGGAGAGAAACGCAGTGAGGCTCTCTGTGTGGAATTTGCAGAAGCACATTGCCTTCCCATCTACTCATTCTCAGGCCTAGGAAGAAGGGGAGGACTCTTGTACTGCCATCAGCTCAGTAAGGATAGAAGGGAGAATCATATCAAGATGACAATAGCCTCATTATCATGATAGATTTTTCTTAGCTATGGTTACCAAAGCTGGTAATGTTTAGATTCTCTCTGAGCTCAGTAGATTTACTTCCTACCAAATATGATTCAGATTGGAGCCTTAGAAACCTATGGTCTCTTGCTGTTTGTTGAAAACAAGGCAGCAAAATGCATTATTTCAGTTACACAGAAAGTATTAGATAGGGTAGGAGACTTGAATTTGTTTCAGATAAATCTGCAGGCTTGATGCGAAATCAATTTGCTTAGCAAATTACACAAATATTGCAAAATGTTGGAAGATCTCTGCTCATAAGGCTATTAGTCATCATTGTAAGATCATATTACAATGGAGTTGCTAATCCACTAGTCATTTTCTTTTGCGCCCCAGCAGCCTGCTGTGAAATGTGGGTTTATAAACTGTCCAGCTGTTGTGACCAGATGAAACTTTTCAAACATGCTCCTAACCCTGAGGCAAATGTTTACTAATCAAGAGTTTGAAAAATTGTCGTCTATTTTTTTATAGCCATTGTAGATGTGGCAGAAAGCCTCTGCTTAATTTTACATTTGGTTTTTCATGCTCGGTTCCAAAAAATATGTTTAATGAGAGGTGGGGATTGTTGCATAGGGTGCTGGTGTCCCAGGATCCCCATATTGGTGTTGTGATGAGCACCAGAACAAAGGAAAGGAAAGGAGAAAAAGATAACAAAAGCATTTCTTTTGTTGCCCTTTCCCAGCATTGCATCCAACTGTGCTGCATTTTTAACCTTTTGATTTATAGTGTTTCCTGACAGTAACGCTGTAGCATAATTCATTTAGTAAGCATGCAATCTGTGTATCTCTGGGGGGAAAGAGCTTGCATTTCTTGCAGTGATGCTGGGATATAGTTCAATAACACAAGATGAGATGGGAGCTCAAGGTACCCTTTAGATTGACAAGATCTGAGGAGGGTCTGTCAAGGATGAAATGGGATCAGAGACAGGAGGAAAAGGATTACACTAAGTTCTATATCTTCATTGAATTTTATTTTATCAGCTTTGGCATTATTTGAACCAGAATCAACTAAAGCCAATGGAAATTTTCTACCCTGACCTTCACATTTAGGAATCTATTACTTGAGGATAAAATGCAGCCAAGTCCAGGGCTTATTTTCTAGAAAAAGAGGTACCGGAACTTGTTGACCTTTTTTTAGGGGGGAGCGCCCAGCCAAACTTGTTGAGCTTTTTATGACACAAATTGCTGGGCTGCAACACCAGAACTTGCCAAAGAACTCACCAAAAAGCCCTGGCCAAATCCATATTTGGTCTCCCACAAATCTGTGGTGAGAATTGTTTGGGCATTCTCAAGTGCCATTTTGTGATATAACATCTTGGTCGTGCCATGGGAAAATTATAGTCAATTTTGAGCTCATTCTACAGAGATTCTGAATGGTAGATTTGCTTATTTGGCCTGCATACCTCTGTACAGGTAATATATATATGCACATCTAGACAAATGTGGCTGCAAATGCAGATTTTTACGGGTTACCTAGCATAAATATGGATAAGAATCTTTAACCAAACATCAGATACAGAATAAATAACAGTTTTAAAAGGTTTTAATGTTTAGTATTCCTCTACACCATAAAAAATAATGGGATGGATTCCCAGCATTTAAAACTATGAAGAACAGAGTATAACATCTAAAGTATAAATAATTGCTTGCATTCTGAATACTAGCCTTGTTTCTAGTGGCATTTGTAGTATTTTTCCTCGATCTGAGCCACAGGTGCAAGGAAATGACTTCACATGTGAAACATTAATCAGTTTGCTTTTTTCTCCTTCATTTTGACTGCATGCTCGGTATGTTTTTAATAGTAGTTTTTGTTTATTTTAGTTGAGTAGCAAGAAAGTCTGGAATTTTAGGGCAGGATTTTTTAAAAGTCCATTCTGGTTTCTGTGAGAGAATCCATTGACTAACACCTTTCGATGAAATTTGTGTAATGAATGGAGTGTTGGTAACTATAAATAAATAGAAATGAGTATGAGTTGTTGATTCCACTAGCGCAGTTAAGGTTGATGTTTAGTTTGGTGATGAAAAATGAATATCTTGGGGATAAAATACTTCACAGATTTTAATTTTCTCATTGTAACATCTGCTTCAACAAGTAACCAGCTGTAATACTGATTCATTTGCTGAGATCATAATTTTGCATCTTATTATTAATTAATGTGTCTTCTTTGTTCCAAGAAAGCATACCAAGTATTGTTCCAGTTCTATTCTTTTAGAACTCAGCAACTGCAGAGTTGATTGAAGCTTTTTCTATGACTAAAACTTCATCAGGCAGACAGAAATATTTGCTCCATTGGATCATTGCTTTTGCATTTTAATATTTAGACAACTTGGGATTATTATTGTTTGGCTAGTTAGGATCAAATTTGTTTGTATTCAGTGTCTCCATCTGTCTGCCAACAGGAAGGCATATTGTACTGGTGCATTTTGATAATAAAGACTACCCGGATACATTTGACTCGGCTGGAACAAAAAGAAATGAGAACGTGTGCAACAACATTTTGTCCTTAGCAATTGTTTTATCTAGATGTGCCTTACAGAGATAAAACATTTTCATCATGGTATGCATCCCAATGATTAGCCCATCCTTTAAATGAATCAAATATGATTACTGTACAATTTAATAATATGCCAGTTCCAAACATTCCATTCTGTGTTCCAAAGTTTAGGACACACTTTAATGTGACCCAAAAAAAACAAGTCAAGATTTGGTTATGTACCGTATTTTTCGCTCTATAGGACGCACCTTTTCCCCTCCAAAAATTAAGGGGAAATGTGTGTGCGTCCTATGGAGCAAATGCAGGCTCCTTGGCTTCAGCGATATCAACGTGAAGCCTCCAAATCGCAGAAGGCGCGCTCCCTCTGTGCTCCGGAGGCTACGCATTGCTTTCGCTGAAGCCTGGAGAGCCTGGTGAGCACCGACCCTTCTCGCTCTCCAGGCTTCAGGGATAGCCGCCTGAAGGCTTTGGAGCGCAGTGGGACCTCACGCTGCACTCCAAAGGCTTCAGGCTCCTTTTGCTGAAGCCATCCCACTCACTGTCTTGGCTTATCTCCTGGCTGGAGAGGTTGCGCGCGGCTAAAGAGGAAGCCAAGACAGCCAGTGGGATGGATCCCGCTCGCTGTTTTGGCTTCTTTGCTCTTTGGAGCTGGGGGGTGGGTGGGATAAGATTTTTTTCTTGACCCCCCCCCCAAAAAAAACCCTAGGTGCGCCTTATGGTCTGGTGTGCCTTATAGAGCGAAAAATACGGTATATGAAGAGCTCTGCAGATAGAAGACTTAATTATTAATGATGGGAGGAGAGTGTTCCCACGATCCAGGAAAAGGTTTACCTCCAACTGCTCTAATAGCACCCCAAAGTTCACCCATTTACTTGCTTCCATAAAAGTGAAAAAGTTGGCATGTACCACACATAGGAACATTGTGGTAGGGGAAAAAAAGTTCTGTAATCCCTTGGGTCCTTGCAAACACTCCCTTGACTGCTTCATCATTCCTCCTGCATCCCTATCACATGATCTCCTGCACTGTCCCAAAGAGCCCTTTCACACACACCCCAGCTAATTTGGAGAGGCAGGGGCTGCGGATGAAGAGGAAATATTCAAAAATCATGTACCTTGCCTATTCCACTGATGAATGCCACTGAATCAAAGAGTTTTCTGTCACTGAGCAGCAGCACTGACCCAACCCAATAGCAATACAATAAACAAATTACATATTTGACTACACAATAAGAATAGGCAGATTGCATCCTTTTGTGGTGGTGATGGTGAAATTGTGGCTGTCTAGATATAAAGATTTGTTTTGGATAGTGCAATTTTGAATATGCACACAAAATATAAATATAGTAATATACAGTAGGTGGCTTTGTAATTGTTTTCTCTGTGGTTGTTAAAAGATGCTCCTCATGAGACCAGAAGAACATCTGGCTGTGAGTGCTGAACGCTGCTCCATGCCACTTTCCTTGCCCTTTCCACCTGGCCTAGGGGGCAGGGCCCAGACTCACCAGCCCTACTATGTTAAATATGTATTCTGTACTTGACCTCCTTTGTAATGTTTTATTTTGAAATCTTTAAGATAATATTTTAGTTTTCTGTTATGTTGCATTGACTGTATACTCTATATTTGACTTTCTTTAGATTGTTTTATTTATGTTTTATTGATTTAATGTGCTGTAAACCGCTTCAATATTTTTCTTAAAAACATAAAGCGGTATAGAATATTAAATAAATAAATAAATAAATAAATTACACTTAAGCCTTCGAAATGTAAATTATTTATACAAGTGGGATTTGCAACAAAATGTTGCATTGTGGTGTGTTTCCGCTCCAGGTTGTAGCAATTTATCCTGTCCCTCTGCTAAGTCACTACATCCCTCTCTGTCATCCCAAATTCTACATTTTCTTACCCTTCAGCAGCCAGTAATCGAAGGCTGCTGAGCACACCGAGTCCTCACTGGGCTGTTTTGGGATTTTGTATTTTTTAAATATATACCATATTTTTCACTCTATAGGATGCACCGGACGATAGGACGCACCTTGTTTTAGAGGGGGAGAACAAGAAAAAAAAATTCTCCCCCTCTCTGCTCAGTGCCCCGGAGGCTTCGCATTGCTATCGCTGAAGCCAAGGAGCCTGCATTCGCTCCATAGGACGCACACACATTTCCCCTTAATTTTTGGAGGGAGAAAGTGCGCCCTATAGAGCAAAAAATACGGTATATCAAATCATAATGTTAAATAGGTATGCAAATCATGGTGTTTCCCCAAACCAACTTGGTGCTGTAGTGGCTGCAGAAGGATAGGCACCCACACCTGAACTTTGGAAATAGAAGGGATGATCCACCCAGCACAAGTATGTTTGTTTATAAATTTCTTACTTATGACTTCATATTTTGTTCCTGCATTTCGTCTTCTTAATTTTCTAGTCGCCATTGCTAGTGTTCTGATCTCTTGTGATAGCTGTCTGTAAGCCTTGGCATGTCTATTTTAAATGTTATAAAACGGAATAAACAGTTCAAGTATTGTTAAGTGTGTATTTTTAAATTCATGTTATTAAACTGTGGTCTTTTGTTACTCTTCCAGGACTTTCTTCATTTATTACTGAGGGACATCCCACAGCTAAAACGGTAGGTCGGAATCAGCCTGAGAAAGACCATAATGGGTATATATTCAAAATGGGTTTTGCCTCCAGAATCTCTGCAGATGAAAAGCTTGTATATAAATCTTCCATCAACTTATACACAGACAACAAAATTTAATGGGTGGAATTCAGCGTCATGCTATTACAGATAGCATGCACAGACATATAAGCATATCAGTTTGCCAAATGGAACAATGACCCCACCCCTTGTGCTTTTTTGCCCCTGAGCCAATTTTGGGGGAGGGAGAGAGGAGTCCCTGCTGGGCAAGTAGAAGCCCTGAAGGGGTTTGTCATTCCTCCTATCTAATAAAATAAACAAGGGCAATTAATTAATTAATTAATTAATTAATTAATTAGTATACTGCCCTTCACCTGAAGATCACATCTATAGCCCCTCCCAAGAGCTTACAGTGAACTGCACAAACATTGTGGGTGCAGTCCTATACAGGCTTACTTAGGAGTAAAGCTATGGGACTTACTTCTGAGAAGACATGTATAGGATTTCACTATAAGCTTAATTAGTATCATTTGTTTTATAGGCAAAGAGAAATCATGGAAAGCGTTGGATATTCTAAAACTGGAATTAGTTTTTAGGTCTTTGATTTTAAAACACTTCCACAGTTCTATGGAAACATCCAGCCTCACTGACTTACATAAACAGGATACCACCGTGATATCAGCTAATTCTTTTCATTAAGAAATCCTTTTCATGTTCCTTATAACATAACTGTTATTCAATAGTTTGGTTTAACCGTTTTATCATAAAGCAGACTGCTGGATCACCAACAGTCATGTGTGATATAAAATGTTATTCTACTATTAATTTGTTTCTGCTAGGATGTTTGACGTATATCAGTGTTTCCCAACCTTTTTTGGGCAAAGGCACACTTGTTTCATGAAAAAAATCTCGAGGCACACCACCATGCCAGATGGGGAAAGGTCACTTTTTACTTATGTAAAAAAAAAAAAAAATAGTAACAGCATAGAAGGTAATGGTTAGGCTAGCATCCCTCTTCCAAATATGCTAGGTTTTTATTTGCAGGGACTGTTCTACATGGGAAAGCATTCAGCACTGTCATTCTCCCATCTGCCATCTGAATTGGTACTATTCTGGGTCAACTTACTCTGCTGCATGTGTAGATGAAAATGGCACCAAGTGTGGGGGAGGGGGCAGAACAGGTTTCAGATACAGGATATTAAGCATACACGTACTTCAGATTGAACTGGTTGCTTGCTTTGCAAGTTTTCATTTCCCAAATGACTGCCTTGGCAAGCGCAATACCTACCAGGCTCAACGCCGGTCTCGCGCTGCCGCTTCCCGCGCTCTCAAGGACCCGGGAGGAGGAAGGCGTGAAGGGAATCCCGAAGGCGCGAAAACCTCGCGCATGCGCAGGCCTTCCGCCTGCGACAGCCCAGTAGGCCGGCCGAAGCGAGCGGCGATGGGATGTGGGAGGGAGCTCGCTCGCCGCCCCGCGTGTGCCTATGTGGGGCACGTTACAGCCCCGTGACGTCAGCGCCACGCAGGCAGCCAGGCAGGCAGACGGCGAGAGCCCCGCGCTGGGCGGCCTCTCCTCGCCGCCGCCGCCCCGCCTCTCGCCACCCGACTCGCCCGCCTCCCTCCAGGCAACATCTCGCGGCACACCAGGCAATGTCTCGCGGCACACTAGTGTGCCGCGGAACACCGGTTGGGAAACACTGGACTATATTGTGGAAGCTTTTGTTGTGAAGCCTTGGTTTATAAAATAAACATTTTGTGAAAAACCTAAATTATTGAAATAATATGGATTTCTAACCCCCAATGTTTGGGGGGAAATCGAGATACCTAGTTAATTAAATTAGTATGTTTTGATTTTATTAATATTCTTAGATCTTTGAATAAAATTGATTCTCCCATTTCTTATTTGTACCAATTTTGATTTGAAATTGGAGGCCAGGTTGGGATCTAAGAATGTGCCAGGAACATTTTAATTTTAAATAAGAAGGTTGTAATAGCTGTTTATTCAACTTCTCCCTTAAGAAAGTATGGAGAAGCTTTTAGTTTTATGATAATTTACTGTATAGCCGTGAATATACTATGCTGCCAGCTTTATATATGGTAAAAAGTTACAGTGTGATGCCAAGAGCAACAGAACATGATGTTTATCTAAAACCACACTTTCACCTGCTCCCTGTAGTGGCAACCATATTTTCCCACTCATTGCTCAACACATTTCATTTGCTAGTATAATATGGGAGAAGAGTTACACTTTGTCCATCTGAAATGAAGTATGTGCATAATGACCAAATATTGTCGTTACTGGAATGTATTCACATGTTTAAAAATATTGGTCAGGATTCAAAAAGCCATGCAACTAGTTCTGTGAGCCAAAGGGAACTTTGGGCTTGGGGTTCTTGTTTTGTTTGTTTGTTTTTGGTGACACCAAGCCATTATGCTTCATGGCAGGCTTCTTCTGAAATCAAGGGGTGTTTCAAAACCAGCTTGTGATAGATGCTTCATTGGCGGCCGTTGTTCAAAGGAAAATGTCAAAAATTCCACTGAACTGGTGTGAAATTTTTGTATGAGCTTAAGCAGTTTTTGGGATCCTAGCCAGTATATTTATTCAGTCTTTTCCAATACTGAAGCTAGGAAATGTGTTTTTCTTGGAAGGGACAACACATTCCCAGTTTCCTTTCTTTTTTCAATATGCATCTGCGATCATTTTGAATCATATTCCTAAGATGACCATGAATTTTGGCAAACCTTGTCCTAAATTCAACAGTTCACCATTATTGTGGTCCCCAGCAATCACATTCTGTGTTGTAAGTGTAAGGGAAATATCTAGACCACTTAATGTTTATACAAGGAATGCCGTTGCATCGTGCTGATCTGCTTGCAATAATTATGCTGGGCACGCTAATTATTTCATGTGGCTTATTTTTTCGGCATAAAGTCATTCTTCTAATATTGGATATCTGAATCCATAAAGTGAAACCAAGGAGATTATATAGAGCCATACCCCAACTGCCGTTATTTCTGTATTGTTGGCTTGCACTGAATTGGCAGCATTCAAGTGCAGTGAAACTACATATATATATAGATCTTCATATTGTTGTTGTTGTTGTTTAGTCGTTTAGTCGTGTCCGACTCTTCGTGACCCCATGGACCAGAGCACGCCAGGCACCTCTGTCCTCCACTACTTCCCACAGTTTGGTCAAACTCATGCTGGTAACCTCGAAAACACTATCCAACCATCTCGTCCTCTGTCATCCCCTTCTCCTTGTGCCCTCCATCTTTCCCAGCATCAGTGTCTTTTCCAGGGAGTCTTCTCTTCTCATGAGGTGGCCAAAGTACTGGAGCCTCAGCTTAACGATCTGTCCTTCCAGTGAGCACTCAGGGCTGATTTCCTTAAGAATGGATGCGTTTGATCTTCTTGCAGTCCATGGGACTCTCAAGAGTCTTCTCCAGCACCATAATTCAAAAGCATCAATTCTTCGGCGATCAGCCTTCTTTATGATCTTCATATACCTATATGCTTATATACATTTAGCAAGGGTTGCTGATCCTTGACAAGGGTGCTGATCCATGCACTGGCAACTGTGAACCAGTGGTACCTATGCTCTGCAGCACTGTCCCAGCCCCGGAACACAGCACAATCTCAGCATTGGCTGCAACCAGCTGATAGAGAATGTGAAGCTGCATTGGCTGGATCCCGGGTGCAGAGGGATGTTGGGTGGCATGTCTTTGGCTGCACCAGGCCTGGGGACTTACGCCAATGTAGCCTGTCTGTGCTGGGCACCTTCAGGCTCTATGGATTCACTGGGTGCTATGCTGCTCATTTCGGTAGATCTTACCCCTTTAGTTGCTTATCTTCATTTTTAGGGGAGGAAATAATGTTTACAACTTGTGTAGCTTGTTAGTTTCACTTTCAATCTAACACCTGCTCTTGGCAAAAATGGTAAACAACTCTTTGCACACTAGTGCCAAAGAGTTTTTAACTAGTAGTGTCAAGTTATTATTTTTAACTTCAAAATCTTACCTTCAGATTATGTTCTTATTGCTCAGAATAACTAAAATGGGCACCTCAAGGTATTAGTATTTAACGAAAGCCATTTCAAAATATGTTGCACATACAAATACCATATACTTCCTGCATAAAAGGTATCATGAGACATGTGTTAAAAATTCTACACCTAAAGCAACTAATAATGAAAGATAATTCAGTGCTCTGTGTAAATATGGAAGGAAAGTTTTCTGCCTTGTGAGAAATTTTCTAAAAGGTGGAATATAAAACAACAACAACAATTGTTTAATTAAATTTGTATACCGCCCTTCATCCAAAGATCCCATGGTGATTCACAACAGAAAAACATAAAATGCAAATGCAAATAAAGTTCGATCTATGTGCTTACATTCATCTTTAAATGAAATATTTTCCATAGCAATCAGACATGTGTGGTTGTAGTTTCCTGACATTTTTGTATTCTGAGGATGCCTAAGTGTTTTTTCTAGGATACTTTAAGGCACATGATCTGATGGGGAAAGGCTAGTGTTGAAAGAAAACTCTATAACTGAGGCGACCAGTGTTCTTAGTCAGTGGGTTGCCTCCATGGTTCAGCTGAAGTTCATTCACCTCACTAGACATTACTGAGCCATTTCTGCCTTTGCATGAAAATGCCTTGAAATAAAACTTTTTGCACTGCCTATGAATTTCACTTTTGTATTTTCAGAATTTTATCACAACAGTGGGTGGGTGTAGTTGCTCTTCTTTTCCCATTCTCTCTATTCAAAGCATTTGTTTTAGCTATTAATAAAGTATGACTCTTGGTCATCTTGTCTGTTTTCTAAGTTATGAAACATAACATGCTATGCCAATATTGAACTATTTTCTGCTTGTAAACCAGCACTTGTCTATTTGGCTCTATTTCTCTATCAGTCTTAGGATGGCTTAGTGTCATAACTTATTCAAAGCAACCTTGGCAATTATTGTTTTTTGTGGATTTTCAGAATCTTTAGACACCACAGGGCTGTAATTTTAATGCAATCCTGGAAAACCTACAAAATGGTTTATGTTTGCATGTAGATACAGCCTTTATATAGGAATTATGGCTCCATTTTTTCAAGGCTTTGCAGTTCTTGGCTGCTTCCTTTCATGCAAGTTGGGACTCAGTTTTTTGACAAATCCTCTTACCTAATGCAGCCCTCTGTGCCACATCCCATTATTTTCTGAAGTATCACCCAACCCTTGGGCAGCAGTTTTCAGGGTGAGCAGTAGATTTTAGTGAGTAGGGGGGATTGGTGACAATCCTTGACTAGTGTGAGCAAAAGTGCTTTCCTTTAAGTCAAAGCCACTATTGGATATAACACTTTGTATTTGGCACATTGGTTGGATCCAGGGGGAGCTTCTTCCATTTGAGGAATGTGATTTCTCTGTCTCAGTTGTACAAAACACACAAATTCATTATTCTTTGTTAACAGAGCCTTCTTCAGAGGCTTGCTTAAATTAGTCTACGAAGTACTATGTTCATGGATGGCACTGTATGAATCACAATCATAATCATAATTAACAATATTAAAGGGAAAGGCACACTTTAAAAAATGAAAATAAATCCATTCTTTGTTTAAATCTTTGTCCTAAGTTGTGTTACTCTGGTTGCATCTGGTTAATGGACAATCTAAGTGTCTGGGAAAGTGCTGGGTTTATAAGCAAATGCTAAATTACAGCTCCTTTGACATTCCAGGAAATGCTTTTTACTTTTAGCTTGCCTTCTTATCTAAATATTTATGAGGAGACAAGGTATTCCATGGACTGAAAAATCTTAAGAGAAGAGATACAGAACCAAGTTGCCCTGGATGTTGGCTGCCTCTTTAACTTGGTCGTGTCATCTCCCTTGCGGATGTAGCACTTTCCCTGAACTTCCCTTTCCTTGTGGGCCTCTGCATTATTCCCATTTTTAGGTGTAAAAAGTCCTACGCTACCTTATAATGTAGCTTGGTTAAGCTAAAAGCAACATACGAAAACATGTTTTTACAGGTTTAATTGTCATAGTGTATACTTTGTGGCAAACATGGGTTCGTTGCTATATGACAATGATGCCAAACTTGGTCCTCCAGCTGTTTTGGGACTACAACTCCCATCATCCCTAGCTAACAGGACCAGTGGTCAGGGATGATGGGAATTGTAGTCCCAAAACAGCTGGAGGGCCAAGTTTGGCCTTCACTGCTATATGATGTGTGAACAGTGGAAGGAACATTGAAAGCTAATTACAGTTTTTAAATTCTGTAAGTTAATCTCTTCATTGCTTCCCTTGCCTGCTTTTGTCCAATCTGCAAGGGACATGTATCTAGGAAATGCAGTTGAGGGACAGGAAGTGCATGGAAGAAGCAGGGGAGAAGTTAAGCACTACTTACCCATCACTGCCATACCCTCCCCACCATTTTTTAGATGTTCAGCAGAGAGCTAGGTTCCCTGGCCTTGGCCTTTTGTCAAATGCCTAATTCAACCCAAAGTCTTCCGTTTTTCCTGCTATTTCAGCTCCTTATCCATGTATCTTAGAAGGCAATGGAAGGATGAAATTAACTAAAACAGGAGCTTCTGGTCTAGTCAGTTCCCATCCAGTGAACTTATCCCTTTAAGAACTAAACATATTGCAAAAACATATTTTTTTCGGTGAGGTGTGCTACTCATTGTGGACAATATTCAGTACCCACGGTACAGCAAAATGAAAACATTTGCTAATCATATGTCTCAGAACTTATTTCTGCTTTTCTGCAGCACAGCTAGAAATATTATGAAAATCGGGGGGGGGGGGGGTTGATCACACAATGGTGGAGAAGGCAAAATGTATATATGCATATATGCCTATGATAGCTTTACAATATCAGCAGTTCTTTCTAATCTGTTATCTGAACCTATTTTTATTCCCACTGAGTGTAAATACGGAAGCCTTTGCCATTTTCAGGCTGTTATGCTTCAGAAGTGCATTCTGCGTTTGCTTGGAATAATTGATGTGATATAGGGGTGTTTTTGGCCAGCGCACAAGATTATTATTTTAGAGTCTAAAGCTAAAGCTATTGAGGTTATATTAATTAGTCTCAGGCAGTTTTTTACTGCCCATTTCTGATTTTCACTTAAACAGATCCTCATTCCTTTCCACTCTTCTTGCAAGCTGAAGACGAAAAGCCACACAAAAAGAACTGCAGAACACCTGTCCATTCTTTCCAAATGTTTCATCAGTGCATTTGAGCTTCTTAAACATATGTTGTCAGCTTCCATAACCATTGAATTCATCACTCGTTTTTACATGTACAGTCCAATCTGCTTTTCATTTTCAGGTGTCATGATCTCAGACATTAGTAATTAGAAAGGACAAAACCAGGCTCAAATCAGTTTGAGATATCACTGTTTAGATTGCAAACCTCGTTTCTAACAAAGTGTTGTTTAACGACATATTTTATGTATGTTCCATGAATAAGGTTAATTTTTAATTTTCTTGGAAGGTATGGCCTGTCAGTTGAAAACCATTTTCCAGAAGTGGCTTGACTGCACAGGAATCCCAAAGGTAAATGCAAAATATCTGTTCTGAATAGGATCCAGATTATGAATTTGTTGAGCATGTTTTTCGAATTACTGCTTGTATGGTAACAGGTATGGAATAAAATAAAAACCCAGGTTTAATGATATCCACTCTAGCTGTTTAGGCTGCACACATATGGGAATCCATTTTTATCAGTTGCAGATTTCATTTTTTGTCTTCCTCAAAGAGATCCCGCCAAGAGGAAAATCTCTTAAACCTTATTTTATTACTAAACATACTGTTCACTGGAAACTGTTCTATTGCAGTATTGTAGTGATGCTTCACATCTTGTTTTAAAAAGAGGAAGGTATCAGTTTTGTGGATTACTTTTGCCAAAGAGGGGGGAAATTAAATATTTGTTAAATTTTAAATTTATTGACTGTTTCGTCTGTAGTGAGGGTTGTTAAATGGTGTGCAACTTTTCTGAACATTGTACTAAGTACAGAAAGTTTTGTGTAAGTCTCCAAAATTCTTATTAGAAATTGACTTAATTCTCAAGCACTATGTGGTAGTAAGATATCAGTTATATACAGGATACCCAACCACCTATCCTCTGCTAGATCAGGAATTGCTTATGCGAATGGATGTTGTGCTTATGGTTCCTGATTTTAACTCCCTTATCCAGCACCAGATGCTCTTTATGTGGTTCCCATTGCTGGACTGGGAATTCCATACACACCCTTTAGCAGATTTCTGACATTGTCAGCTTTGACAGAACCAATCAAAGAACTGAAACCGCTGAACAAGTGATTGACAATGTCTCATCTTACAGCATCAGCCAGCTGGTGGGTGGGTAGGTACATATAGATCAATTTTGGAACTGAACTATCTCTGAGCTCTTTCAAACAGGTCTTACAATACTAATTTCTTTATTGTGTCCTTTGGGGGCAGAGGATGCTGGATGTTGGGCTGTAATTTTAAATAGGCTATTTAGTCTTATACTGTGTGTGTGTGTGTGTGTGTGTGTGTGTGTGTGTGTGTATGTAATTTGATACTTGCTTGTTTTATATACCACAGAATAAAGTATCTAGGCAGTGAACCTAACACATCCATAAAACAGCATAAAAGTACTTAACATTTGGACAGCGAGCCACAATAATGTGTGTATTAAGCTATACATCAGAAAAGGCTCATGTAAACAGAAGGGCCTTAAAAAGGCATTCAGAACAAAGTACAGATGGTGCTTGCTTAATATTGTATTGTATTGTATTGTATTGTATTGTATTGTATTGTATTGTATTGTTTCTCAGGTTTCTCACCTGCCCTTCAACATAAGGTCCCAGGGCAGGTTACAATAATAGGATGTACAGCTACAAAACCACTGCAATGATAAAATCTCTAAAACCATTCCAAATGGAACAAGAACGATTAATAGTCAAGGATTTCCACAGCTGGTTACTTTTATATTTCTAGCTACATACTTGTAGATCCTACATAATGCATAGATCCGCTTTGTGTGCAATGGTCCCAGGTGCATTTTTCTGGTCCCAGCCTCACAAAGAGTCTCAAGGCTAGCGTTGCGTTGGCGGTGACAGCTGGTGTGGCAAACCACGCCACACTGCTGGTTGAGGGGGCAAAGAAGGAGAAAAGACCATAACCTGAAGAGGAGGAAGGGTGCAGAGTTCAGAGGCCTCACTTTAATCCCTCCATCACCTAATGAAGAGTCTCCCTTCAAAAATTGCTCAGTTTGTTTTGTCTTCAATGTAAGCAAGCACCATCAAAACTCCTCACAACCATCCAGTATATGGGACCATTTAATATTCTGTAAATACTAGGTGTTACAGCATTAGCAAATCTAAGTAGCATCAGTAACATGGATGGAAACATTGAGAGCCCCGTGTAAGAGCAGTTTGGGTAATCAATGTTTTTTTGTTTTTGTTTTTAAAGAAACCCATCACCCAATATAAAAGAGTCTTTTCCCACATAAACTATATTCTGGCCTCACGCTTGATGGTGCAAATCTTGAATAATATTTTGCTAAAAATAAAGCCTGCTGTCATGAATTAGGGAAGGTGCTGTTTTGTTAAACCTTTCCCACTTCATTTTGAAGGTTTCTTCTACAAATTTGGACATGTTGTACTGGTCTCCCCCCATACAGCAGCAAGTTTGTCTAGTGACTGGGTCACAGCAAGGTTTTCCTGTGCATCACATTATATGCATGTGCTGAAAAACAAGCAATTGTGTGAGAAACAGAAGATTTCAGGAGGGCCTTTTCCTGAAACCTGCTGGGCCTGGGTTAAATAAGGTCAACTACATTGTGTTGTTGAATTTGCTGTTTATCAGATCAGGATGTACTGCAACCTCACGAAGTGACTCACCACAAGAGTAGCTTTTCATCCTCCACTAGCCTAATAATGACTTAATGCCAGCAATTCTGGTCTGTGAGTGTAATTGACATGGAGTAGTTCAGAAACAGCTGATTTTAGAGCTGGAAAGAACCTATTAAGCAATGGTGCAGCCTTACATTCCCCAACACTCCTGAAATCAACCATTCCAGTTTTTTGTTCTTGTTCTCCTGTTTGCTCTTAAACATTTCAAGAGCTGTGGTTTCTTTGCATTCTTTGAAACACACTAGAACAAGCCTTAATCATTGAACAAAGTTGTCCCCCCCCATTCAACATACATTCTCTCTTCTGTCATCTGTTTACTAGTGCACCACCCAAAGTAATGGATGATGTTAAACTATGCACAAACAATGGCCATGCCCACTTTAAGCATCTCTCAGTTGTTCAAACAAGTCACAACCAAGCCAGCCCTATAATCAGTTCATATAGTTGACTAAATCCTCTTTGGTTGGCCTATGTTTTCTCCTGTCTCTGCTGGAAATGCTGGTGGTTTTTTGTTTTGAAAAAGACACGAGTATGTTTGCTCTTTTTTGTTTTTGTGATCAGTAATAATAATAATAATAATAATAATACCCCACACATCAGGCTGGGTTTCCCCAGTCACTCTGGGCTGCTTACAGCATGTATCAACACATAATAAAACATCAAACATTAAAAACTTCCTGATACAGGGCTGCCTATTAAACTATGTCTCTGCAAATGAGGGGGAACATTCACAGTGGTACCTCGCAAGACGAATGCCTCGCAAGACGAAAAACGCGCAAGACGAAAGAGTTTTCTGTTTTTTGAGTCATTCTGCAAGACAAATTTCCCTATGGGCTTGCTTCGCTAGATGAAACGTCTTGCGAGTTCTTGCGAGTTTGTTTCCTTTTTCTTAAAGCCGCTAAGCCGTTAATAGCCGCTAAGCCGTTAATAGCCGCTAAGCCGCCAATAGCCGCTAAGACGCCAATAGCCGTGCTTCGCAAGACGAAAAAACCGCAAGATGAAGAGACTCGCGGAATGGATTAATTTCGTCTTGCGAGGCACCACTGTATCTTCCTCATGCATCCACGCTAGCTCCTTTCTCTTGAATTGCAATCCTTTCCCACTTTTTTGCAGAGTTCCACATTGCAACTTTTCAGTTTAGAAAAAAAGGTAAGGGGGACATGATAGAGGTTTATAAAATTATGCATGGTGTGCAGAAAGTGGATATAGATAGCACACCCCCCCCAAATAATACTAGAACACAACGTTATCCAATGAAGCTTTACACTTGCTTACGTCAAATCACATTTTCCATTTTAATGATCATACACCTAGTTCAGAATGATCTTTTTGTAGTTCCTCATAATCCCCCCTCTTTTTGTTACCCCCATGAAGAACTTGATGTCATCTGCATATCTGGCCACCTCCTGGCTCAGCCATAGCTCCTGATCATTATACATAACTTAATACTGAGACTTGGGGGAATACCCAACTGAACACCCATCCATTCTAAATACTCCATTTATTCATGTTCTCTGCTTTCTGTCCCCTGACCAATTACTGATCCTTAAGTGGATTTCTCCTATTCCATGACTGCTAGGTTTACTCAGGAATCTTTGGTGAGGGACTTCATTGACAGCTTTTTGAAATCCTGAGTACACAGCTAAGTACACTTGATTAATTGTATCTATAGGCTTATTGTCATTTTAACAGGTTAGTTAGACTAGACATATCTTTACAAAATCTATGCTACCTCTTCAGCAAGACTTGTTCTTCTATGCCAGGGGTCAGTAACCTTTTTCAGCAGGGGGCCGGTCCACTGTCCCTCAGACCTTGTGGGGGGCCGGACTATATTTTGAAAAATAATAATGAACGAATTCCTATGCCCCACAAATAACCCAGAGATGTATTTTAAATAAAAGCACACTTTCTACTCATGTAAAAACACCAGGCAGGCCCCACATATAACCCAGAGATGCATTTTAAATAAAAAGACACATTCTACTCATGTAAAAACACGCTGATTCCCGGACCGTCCACGGGCCGGATTGAGAAGGTGATTGGGCCAGATCTGGTCCCCGGGCCTTAGTTTGCCTGTTGTTGTTGTTGTTGTTATTAACTAAACAACATCAACAACAACAACAACAGGCAAACTAAGGCCCGGGGACCAGATCTGGCCCAATCACCTTCTCAATCCGGCCCGTGGACGGTTTAGTCATGTCTGACTCTTTGTGACCCCATGGACCAGAGCACGCCAGGCACTCCCGTCTTCCACTGCCTCCCACAGTTTGGTCAAACTCATGCTGGTAGCTTCGAGAACACTATCCAGCCATCCCGTCCTCTGTCGTCCCCTTCTCCTTGTGTCCTCCATCTTTCCCAACATCAGGGTCTTTTCCAGGGAGTCTTCTCTTCTCATGAGGTGGCCAAAGTATTGGAGCCTCAGCTTCACGATCTGTCCTTCCAGTGAGCACTCAGGGCTGATTTCCTTCAGAATGGATAGGTTTGATCTTCTTGCAGTCCATGGGACTCTCAAGTTTGCCTACCCATGTTCTATGCGCTTGGTAACCATATATTTAAAAATGCATTTTACTATTTTTCCTGGAGCAGACATCACATGAACTAGTCTGTAATTTCTTGAATCTCCCAGGCTTCCTTTTTTTTAACAGTATTACACTG